GAAATAAAAGGCGATTAGAATGATGTTACAAACGTGAGAGATGTCTGGTAAAGTGAAAGTGGCAATTCTTCAAGGACAAAACAACTAGGCTGGCGAGGTGGTCACACCTGTAATCCTAGCACTCTGGGAGGCTGAGGCGGGAGGATTGCTCGATTCAGAGTTTAAACAGCCTGAGCAAGAGCAAACCCCGTTCTACCAAAAATAGAAAAATTAATTGACAATAAAGAGATATATATATTGTAAAATTAGCTGGCATGGTGGCACATGCCTGTAGTCCCAGCTCGCTGGGAGGCTGAGGCAGCAGGATTGGCTTGAGCCCAGAAGTTTGAGGTTGCTGTGAGCTAGGCTGACGCCATGGCACTCACTCTACCTGGGCAACAAGCGACTCCTGTCTCAAAAAAAAAAAAAAGTAAATGATCAGATATCAAGCCAATAACAGAGAATCAATCAAGGAAGCAACTTCCAGAGAATATTTTCACTTTGGTCTACATATATTTGTATGAACATGAACACTCAACTAAGAATGCTTTTGGCAGAATCTCTCCAGTGAGACCACTGACCCTAAAACCTGAGCATGCATCAGAATTACTAGACTTTGAACTGCAGATTCAGGAAGTTGGGTGGGGGTAGACAATTTGCATTTCCAGCAAGTTCCCAGGTGATTTTGATGCTGTTTGTTCAAGGATCACACTTTGAGAACCACTGGCTTACTTTTAAGCCACGTTAATTATGTCATAAAACAAGAAAACTGGAGTAGGTGGCTCTGGATTGGCTGTGGCTCAGTAAGGTCTTTAAGGACTAAATCTCTTTCTGATTTACTGTTCTGACATCTTTGGGTGTTAGCTGCTTATGCATGACTTGTTCCCCTGACACCCCTCCCATCCCCCTCCACCCCCCACCCCACTCCACGTGGTCACAGTATGGCTAACGTAGCTCCAAGAATTATGTCTTCACATGATCCCATTCAAGGCAGGAAGAAAAAGCAAAGAAATAACACAAGGCTTTTACTTACTGAGGTTCTTTTTTCAATCCAGAAAGAAAATGTTTCCAGGATGGGATGAAGATACTGGTTTAGACTAATAATGATTCATTCTTTGGGGCTGGGGAAGGGGTCTACCTTCCCTGAAATCAGGGGGTCTCTGCTTACTGCCTGAATAAAATCACTCCTTTAGCAGGGACAGAGGTGCAAGTGGCTGTTGGGTAAGCAACAAACACTGGCTTCTGCAACTAATAATTTTATGTACATTATTTCGCTTAATTCTCACATTTCTCTGAGGTAGGCATTATTATTCCCACCTCACAGATGAGGAAACTGAGACTTGAAGAGGTTAAGTAAATTGTCTACACAGCTAGGAAAAAAATTAGAGTTTGAATTAGGTCTATTGACTAGATAAATTAAACAATGCCTTTACATTACTATATAACTGTTGCCTCTTGTTTTATCTACAGTTGAGAAAAATCATTGCTAGCATAATAACAACCCTCAATTATGGACAAAAAGGTTAATTTACGTTTTGCTTACTATATTGTATATGCATACACTAATCTCATACAAATTTAAGACAGAAATTTAAATTCTATAAATACTTAAATAGAAAAACTTGTCACCAAGAATAATATATTTCTAATGACATCATATACCTTAATTTTTATTATAGTAGTGTCCCCTTATACAAAGAGATATGTTCCAAGACCCCCAGTAGATGCCTGAAACTGAGGCTAATATCGAACCCTAGCTATACTATGTTTTTTTTTCATCTGATCACTTAGAAGTTTACTAATGACTCACGGGCAGGGAGCATAGACACAGTGGTCATGCTGGACAAATGAAGGATTCACATGCTGGGCAGAATGGATTGGGACAATGCAGTATGAATTATGGGTGGGTGTGGTGGCTCACATCTGTAATCCCAACACTTTGGGAGGCCAAGGCAGGAGGACTGCTTGAGGCCAAGAGTTTGAGACCAGCCTGAGCAAGAGTAGTGTTAGAATACTACTCCCCAGCTCTACAAAAAATAGAAAAAATAGCCAGGCATGGTGGCTCCTGTAGTCCCAGCTACTCTGGAGGCTGAGACAGGAGGATCGCTTGAGCCCAGGAGTTTGAGGTTGCAATGGGCTATGATGATGCCACTGTACTCTAGCCTTGGAGAAAGAGGAAGACCCTGTATCAAAAAAGAAAAAAAAAAACCCAAAAACTTATGAATTGTTTATTTCTGGTCTTTTCCATTTAATATTTTCAGACCATGGTTGATTGCAGGTAACTGAAACCAAGGAAAATAAAACCTTAGATAAAGGGGGACTAGTATATAATAAGTAAGGTCAGGGAGAGAAGGGCCCTTCTACAGTCTAATTAGGAATTTTCTGAGTTTTGTACATTTGCATTTGTAAGTGTAGCTCATACTTGTGCATTTAACTTTACAACTGTATGTGTGGTGGATGGTAGCATTTAGGGAGGGCTTTAGAGGGTAAAGTTAGGCAGAAAAGAGCAGGCAAGAGAAAAAGTAAAAGAAAGACACAGAACAGGGATCTCAATTTAGTATGACTGGGATTATGGGAGTTGTGGATAAGATGTTTCACATTCTACTTTATTTACTTCTGTACTGTTTGAATTTCATACAGCTCTTACAACTTCAATCTGTTTAAGTAAATATGCTTTCCTTCTAAAAAGAGAAGGACAATGGTAGAAGTCACATTTTGGAGGATTCTGGAGAAAACTGAAAGTCAATGAGTAAACTTGGAAAATACAGGCAACCCATTTGAGAGTTTGAAAACAAATGGAAGAAGAAAAGTTGGATTTTAGCAAGGGGTTCAGCAAGATTATTCTTTCAAAATAGATGTGTGGAAACAAAATACATGCCTATGAACACATCAATGGTAGAGAAACTAGCTTTGGCTAGTGTGTATATTCGTTCTCTATAGCTGTGAACACAAGACTTAGCGGCCTAAAACAACAAATATTCATTATCTTACATCATTTCTGAGGGTTGGGAAATTAGGGCACAGATGGGTGGTGCTGGCTCAAGGTTTCTCGTGAAGTTCCAGTCTTGTCATTGCCTAAGCTACAGACATCTGAATTTTGACTGAGCTGGAAGATTTGTTTCCAAGTGCGCTCAAGTGAGACTTCAGTTCCTTGCTGGCTTTTGCTATAGGCTTCAGTCCGCACCATGTGGAGCTCTCCAGAGGGTTGTTCATGACATATGGCTCCCTCCAGGCCAGAGTGAATGATCTAAGAGAGAGCAACCAAGATGGTAGTGGCAATGCCTTTTGATGACCTCATCTCCAAGGTTGCATCTCATCACTTTCATTTTATTGTATTCATTAGAGATGAGTCACTAGATTCAGTCCACACTCAAGGAGAGGAGAACTAGTCCTCACCTGTCGAAGAGAGGATTATCATAGTATTTATGGACATATTTTTTAAACTACTGCAGAATTTATAACAAATATCATGGCTTAAATAAGAGCACATACATAGTGAAGGATAGTTTAAATAGTGTGAAATATTTGTCTGAAAGATGTATGTCAAATGCAGTTTCCTGACCATGAAGACATTTCAATGTTATAAAATCTGTCTTAGGCTGGGCGCGGTGGCTCACGCCTGTAATCGTAGCACTCTGGGAGGCCAAGGCGAGAGGATTGATCAAGGTCAGGAGTTCGAAACCAGCCTGAGCAAGAGCGAGACCTCGTCTCTACTATAAAAATAAAAAGAAATTAATTGGCCAACTAATATACATAGAAAAAATTAGCCGGGCATGGTGGCGAATGCCTATAGTCCCAGCTACTCGGGAGGCTGAAGCAAGAGGATTGCTTGAGCCCAGGAGTTTGAGGTTGCTCTGAGCTACGCTGATACCGTGGCTCTCAGTCTAGCCTGGGCAACAAAGCGAGACTCTGTCTCAAAAAAAAAAATCTGTCTTAATACTGTCATTTACTCTCTGATATTGCCAGTTATAACAAATGCCATTGCACAGTGCTTTTCCTATTTTGTTCCAACACTCAAGTGGATATTTGCCATGCCTCTCGATTGTCAGCAAGTTTGGCAACTTTCCTACAGTTAGGGGATTTCTTTCATTTTGAAGACTGCTACCTGAGGCAGAAGCCAGAACTTTCCTTCGTAGCCACGCTTGCAGCTTGGACTCAGGAACAGAACTTTAGTTCTTATACCCAGATACTCTCATGTAAAATACAGATTTGGAAGACAACAGCATGGCCCAGAATTCAGTTTCCAGAAAGGATGGAGGAAATGGCTCCAATGATGGAATCAGACCTTGGACTCTCTCCATGTCAGAGCTCTGCTTTCCCTGGTGTTGACTTCATTCCCAAGCAGCCTCTCTTTAGTGCACCTTGTGCTTCATTACGATTTATCATTTTCAGAATTTTCATTATCACTTCACTTAAACAAACTACATAACTAGCATAGTGGTGCAAAACAATAAGAGTTTTGTCATGCCCACATAGTCTATGAATCAGGAATTGGGGACAACTTGTCCCTGCTCTATGACATGGGGTACTCAGATAGAAAGACTCAATGGCTGGGGAAGGTGGGGTCATCTGAACGCTAGGGGTTGGAATCATCTGGAGGCTCATTCATTTGCATTCATAGCAGTCAATACTGGCTGTTGATTGAAGGCTATCAGCTGGACCAACTCCCTGTAGCTACTTGGGCTTCCTCACAGAATGGTGGCTAGGTTCCAAGATCAAGCACCCCAAGAAAACAAGTGAGGTATAGCACCTTTTATGACCAAGCCTTGGAAGTCACATAGCATCAGTATGCCATAGATACAAGTCCTTCCAGATTCAGTGAAGGAGAGAACATAGACCTACACACACCTTTTAACGAGAGGGGTGTCAAAGTCACATCCAAAGAAGAGCATTTGGAATGGGAGATACTGTTTATTAAAAGGATCTGTTCTGTAAAATTTGGATTCAGCCAAAAGGCTGCACTCAAGGATCCAGAAGGCCACATGTGGCCCTGAGGCAGCAGGTTCCCCACCCCTCTCAGTATGGCAGAGCTCTTCTCTGTGTTCTTGTCTGTGGACTCGGACGGAGGGCCAGACGTCACGCTCAGAAGGATGGATTCCATAGAGGTCTGGACATAGGTGCAGGCCACTGGTGGCTCACAATGTTGTGTGGCTGGGCAGGGGCACTTCTCCCGGTCACTCTCCTGAGGAGCTCTCACAGGGCCGGCTCTCACAGGAGCAGCTCCTGCGGAGTTGACTGGAACTCGGGGAACCAGGGCAGCAGGCTGGGTGACAACCTCTAGTGATCAGGGCTGCTTTCCCAGGGATCACAGGAGTCCAGGAAGAGGCAGGGCAACAGGTCTCTTAGAATATGACCCAGTGAGTAAGGAGCCACTGAGGAGGTCTGACAACAGTGAGGTTACTGTGTGCAGTCTCAGGGCTGATAGAAGTTCTTCTTGGTCAAAGACACAGCCACCCGCACTGTATGTACGACGAAGGAATAGTCTGGGGCTGCCAGGTCACTCTCTGATCCGCTCCCTGCCGCTCCAGAACACAGAGCCTTGGCTCAGTTGGAGATTCGAGGTCCTGGGTGATGAGGAATGGAAGTCCTGGGAAAAGGGACGACAGGACGAACTGAATCTCAAGGGCACAGAAAGGAGGGAGAGCGCTGCAGGACAAGTCAAGGAAAGGGGGCATAAACATCTGACTGCACGGTAGGGTTGTGGGAGCAAAGAGGAGGCGCACTGCATCTGAGGCGGGGCCCTGGGTATGGTGCCTGCAGCCGCCAGGGAGGGCGACTGTGCCACACTGCCCTGCGTGTGGCGTGGCACGGTCTACACACAAATCTCCACAAAGCCTCCTTCCCGTGTGACTCGTGACACATGCTAAGAAGAGCAGCAGCCCACAGGTGCAGGGGGTCCAGGAACTCTGCTGCAGCAGCGTGAAATTCAGACCTTGAAGTTTTTTTCTGTTTAGAATAATACAAACTAAACGCCGCCCTCTGCGCCCGGTCCCTGTCCCACCGGCCGGGCGCCTCCTAAACGTCCTCCCAGGAGGAATCCACAAGTTCACTAGCGGGTTTGTTTCCGGCGCCCGCGCACCTCGAAACCGAAAGCAGAACTGGCTGGGCCGCAGCACCGCCCCGAGAGAACCGCCCGCCGAGCGCCGCCGCCGCCGCCGCCGCCCCAGCCGAGAGCGCGTCTCCTCGGCTGCAGTTGTCCTTGCCGCCGCGGCGGGCCGGGGGCAACAGTGAGCGGCGGCGGTGGGAAATCGAGGCGACGGCTAGAAGGCCGCCGCGGCCCGGGCAGGGAGAGCGGAGACAGCGGCGGCGAAGCCTCCTCCGCGTTCCTGTGGGCGGGTGTGCGGAGGTCGGTGGCAATGAGCTTGTAGGAAGATGGAAAGGAAAACTGTCTGCCTGCACCAGGATGGCCGAGTGGTTAAGGCGTTGGACTTAAGATCCAATGGACATATGTCCGCGTGGGTTCGAACCCCACTCCTGGTACATTGAGCTTTTTCCTCCTCACTTTTTTAAATTTTTAAATATTAATCTCACCGAACACACCAGGCCTTGGACATTAGAATTCCGACTTCTGGCTGGAAGAGGCGTAACCCCCACAAGGCGAGGGAGCTGGGCGCGGGGCGCGGCGGCGGCCTAGGAAGCCAGGCTCGGCTCCGCAGCTGCAGAGCGGGGTGGGGGGTGGGCAGCCCGGCGGGGGAGGGCTTGAGACCTGGCAGCATATTTTAAAAACTGCCTCTTGCAGAAAAGTAAAAAATACATCTCTTTTTCTCTCTCTTTTTTCTGTCAAAGTTAATTGTGTGCACAGAACTCTTCAATTAACTCCTGGAAGGCGGGGACTGTATACAACACAGCTCTAAAATACACTCTTGACTTGAATTCGGCTTAGAAGTTTTAAATGCTAACAGCCTAGTCTAGTCCTTTCTTCCTTCCCTCCCTCCCTCCCTTCCCTTCCTCCCTCCTTCCCTTCCTCTTTTTTTTAAAAATGAAAGCAATCTAAGACGTTAAAAAAGTTTGCAAGTACAATCCAAAGACCTTGTTTCCTCCCTTGAATCTTTGAGAGTGAGATACTGACTAGAGGTCCCAATAACAAGAAATGAACATTGATTATTTTCTACCATCTAATCCTCAGACCCCATTCAGTCACTAGTTGTCACAAGATTGTTATATCTTTATAGCAAAAGGCTCCTGTTTAGAATTTGGCATGGCTCCTTCAGTCTGGATCAGTTTCTCAGTCTCTCCTGACTGTCGTGCTCTTGACACTTCTGAAGATGCCATGCCCGTCTATTTGTAGAATGTCCCTTTGTCAGTCTGGGTTTTCTGATGTTTCCTCCTGATGAAATTGAGGCTCTTTAGCAGGACTATCTCTAGCGATGTGGTGTTCTCATTTCATCCTCTCAGGTGGCATGGTTTTTTGTTTTTGTTTTTGTTTTTGTTTTGAGACAGAGTCTCACTTTTGTTGCCCAGGCTAGAGTGAGTGCCCTGGCGTCAGCCTAGCTCACAGCAACCTCAATGCTAGCGGTCGTGCGCCGGTGGCTTACGACTGTATCCTAGCACTCTGAGAAGGCTGGAGGGAGGAGTTGGGCTCGAGAGTTCAGGAGTCAGACCAGCCTGAGCAAGAGCAACCGCCGTCTCTACAAAATAGAAGAATTATTGATAATACAAGAAAGTATATATGTGTGTGTGTGTGTGGTGTTGTGTGGGTTGTGTTTGTGTAAATTAAGCTGGGCATGTGGCACATGCCTGTAGTCCCAGCTACTGGGGAGGCTGAGGCAGCAGATTGCTGAGCCCAGGCAGTTTGAGGTTGCTGTGAGCGAGGCTGATGCCATGCACTCATCTAGCCTGGGCAACAAGCGGATCTGTCTCAAAAAAAAAAAAAAAAGTAATGATCAGATAAGCAATAACAGAGAATCAATTAAGGAAGCAACTTCCAGAGAATATTTTCACTTTGGTCTACATATATTTGTGTGAACATGAACACTCAACTAAGAATGCTTTGGCAGAAGCTCTCCAGGTGAGACCACTGACCTAAAACCTGAGCATGCATCAGAATTACTAGACTTTGAACTGCAGATTCAGGAAGTTGGGTGGGGGTAGACAATTTGCTTTTTCCAGCATTCCCAGGTGATTTTGATGGTGTTTGGTCCAAGGATACACTTTGAGAACACTGGCTTTATTTTAAGCACGTTAATTATGTCATAAAACAAGAAAACTGGAGTAGGTGGCTCTGGATTGGCTGTGGCTATAAAGGTTTTAAGGGACTAAATCTCTTTTCATTTTACTGTTCTGACATCTTTGGGTGTTAGTGCTTATGCATGATTGTTCCCTGACACCGCCTCATCCCCCTCCACCCCCCACCCCACTCCACGTGGCACAGTATGGCTTAAGCAGCTCCAAGAATTTGATCTCACATGTATCCATTTCAAGGCAGGAGAAAAAGGAAGAATAACTACAAGGCTTTTACTTACTGAGGTTCTTTTTTCATCCAGAAAGAAATGTTTCGAGAATCCGCAGCCAGTTTCTCTTTATTCCATTGGCCAGAACTGGATCACACTATCTGTTAACACCCGCAGACCATTCACTACATTAACAAAGAACTGGGATGATGAAGGGATACATGGTTTTCTAGACTAATAATGATTCATTCCTTGGGGGCTGGGCAGGGGTCTACCTTCCTGAATAGGGGGTCTCTGTTACTGCCGAATTAAATCATCTCTTTAGCAGGGACGAAGGTGCAAGTGGCCTGTTGGTAAGCAACAACAACACTGGCTTCTGTCACTAATAATTTATGTACATATTTGCTTAATTCTCAATTTCTGCTGAGTATGCTTTATTTTCCCGACCTCAAGATGAGAAACTGAACTGAAGAGGGTTCACGTAAACTTGTCTACACAGCTAGGAAAAAATTAGATGTTTGAATTAGGTCTGTATGAACCTAGAATTAAAAATGGCTTTACATTACTACTTAACTGTTGGCCTCTTGTTTATCTACAGTTTGTGAGAAAAATAATTGCAGCATAATGCAACCTCAATATTATGGCAAAGTTAATTTAATTTTGCTTAATATTCGTATATGTATACACTAATCTCTACAAATTTAAGCAGAAATTAATTCTATAAATACTAAATAGAAAACTTGTTCCCAAGATAATTTCTAATTGACATCGATATACCTTAAATTTTGATTCTAGTGGTGCCCGTGTTACAAGAGATATTTCCAGACCACCGTAATGCCTGAACTGGGGCTAATATACGAACCCTAGCTTACTGTTTTTTTTTCATCTGATCACTTTAGAAGATGTTATATAATGACTACGGGCAGGATCATAGAGCACGTGTCTGCTTGACAAATGAAGGATCACATGCTGGGGAGAATTTGGATTTTGGAAAATGCGAGTATGATTTGGGTCGGGGTGTGGCGTCACATCTGTGAATTGCGAACACCGTTGGGAGGCCAGCAGGGAGCTGCTTGAGCAAGAGTTTTGAGACGAGCTGGCAAGAGTAGTGTTAGACACTACTCCCCAGTCTACAAAAAATAGAAAAAAGCCCAGGCGAATGGGGCCTGTTATCCAGTTACTCTAGGCTGAGAAGAGGTCGCTTGAGCCCAGGGTTTTGAGGTTGCATGGGTATGATGATGCCGACTTGTCTCTACCTTGTGGGAAAGGAAGACCTGTATTCAAAAGAAAAAAAACCAAAACTTATGAATTGGTTATTTCTGGTCTTTCCATTTATATATTTTCAGCCATGGTTGATTGGCAGGTAACTGAACCAAGGAAATAAAACGTTAGAAAGGGGGACTAGTAGGAAATGAAGTAAGGTCAAGGTGAGAGAAGGGCCTTCTATAGTCTGAATTAGGAATTTCTGGTTTTGACATTTTGCATTTGTGGTAGCTCATACTTGTGCATTTACTTTAACTGTATGTGTGGTGGATTGGTAGCCATTTAGGTAGGGCTTTAGAGGGCAAATTAGGCAGGAAAAGAGCAGGCAAGAGAAAAGTAAAAGACAAGAACCAGGGGATCTCAATTTAGTATGACTGGGATTAATGGCAGTTGTGATAAGATTGTTTTCACATTCTACTTTATTTACTTCGCTATACTGTTTGAATTCCAACAGCTCTTAACTCAATCTGTTTAAAGTAAATATGCCTTTCCTTTCTAAAAAGAGAAGGACAATGGTAGAAGTCACAATTTTGAGATTCTGGAGAAAACTGAAATCAATGAGTAAACTTGGAAAATACAGGCAACCATTTGAGAGTTTTGAAAACAATGGAAGAAGAAAAGTTGGATTTTAGCAAGGGTTCAGCCAGGATTTTCTTTCAAAATAGATGTGTAGGAACAAATACATGCTATGACCCATCAGATGGTTAGAGAAACTAGCTTTGGCTATGTTGTATATTCGTTCTTCTATAGCTGGTGAACACAAGAGCTTAGCAGCCTAAACAAACAAAATATTCATTATCTTAACATCATTTTCTGAGGTTGTGGAAATCAGGGCACAGATGGGTTGGTGCTGGCTCAGGGTTTCTCATGAGTTCCATCTTTCATTGCCTAAGCTAACAGACATCTGAATTTTTGACTGAGCTGAAAGCATTCTGTTTCAAGTGGCTCAATGAGACTTCAGTTCCGTCTGCATGGCTTTGCTAGAGGCTTCAGTCCGCACAATGTGGAGCTCTTCAGAGGTTGTTCTGAATATGGCTCCCTCCAGGCCAGACGTTGAATGAAATTAAGAGAGAGCAACAAGAAATGGGTAGTGGCATGCCTTTTGATGACCTCATCTCCAAGGTTTGCCAATCTCATCACTTCATTTTATTGGTATTCATCTAAGAGGGATTGCAGTCAACTAGATTGTCCATCAAGGAGAGAGAATAGTCTTCACTGTCGAAGGAGAGGATTATCATAGATTTAATGACATATTTTTTAAACACTGAACGATTTATAACAATATCATGGGGCTAAATAAGAGCACAGACATAGTGAAGGATAGTTTAAATATGGAAATATTGGTCTAGAAGGATGATATGTTTTTTTTTTTTGTTGTTTTTTTTTGTTTGTTTTTTTTTTTGAGACGAGTCTTGGCTTTTGTTGTCCAGGCTAGAGTGAGTGCCGTGGCGTCAGCCTAGCTCACAGCAACCTCAACTCCTGGCTCAAGCGTCCTACTGCCTAGCCTCCGAGTAGCTGGGACTACAGGCATGTGCACCGATGCCAGCTAAGTTTATATAATATATCAGTGGCAATTAATTTCTTATCTATTTATAGTAGAGATGGGTCTTGCTCTTGCTCAGGCTGTTTTTGAGCTAAACTCTCGACCTTTGAGCAATCCCCTGCCTTCGGCTCGCAGGAGCTAGATTAAGGC